TCTCAGTTTTTAGGCTGCTAATGTGAGATAAACATTTTGACTCGTATTTTCTTGTAGTTTTTCCTCAGGGGAAATATTCTTTATGACTCTGATGGATAAAAATTGTTTTAGAAATACTGCAGCAAACTTATTTTCCTAGCCTAAGAATAAAATAAATTTTTGGCAGTGTTTAACAGAAAAGTAAAACTTAATGCTTTATTTATCTTTTTTTAAAGAGAGCAGAAATTTTTATATCTGACATAGCATAAACGTACCTAAAATTATTGTAGCTTCGTGATGCATGTTTTAAAAGTTAAGATATTAAGATGTGCACGTCATTTGGTTTTACAGTTTAATTGGGCCAGTTACATTCTGTGGGCACACAGGTGACTCTGTGGCATTCATGAGTAGACCACTGCAGTCATCAAGTCAACCTAGAAGTTCACTAAAAAGTAGTTTTACATTAAGTGCTTGGGCTTCCGTAGTCCAAGGTACTCTAGAAAAATTCTTTTTTTTTTTTTTCCTCTGCGGTACGCAGACCTTTCACTATCGTGGCCTCTCCCGCTGCACAGGCTCCGGACGCGCAGGCCCAGCGGCCATGGCCCATGGGCCCAGCCGCGGAAGCCCCGCGGCACGCGGGATCCTCCCGGACCGGGGCATGAACCCGCGCCCCCTGCATCGGCAGGCGGACTCCCAACCACTGTGCCACCAGGGAAGCCCTAGAAAAATTGTTATTCTCTCAGGAGATAATCCTCTTTTTACTTTGCTAGCAAAATAGTTAAATAGTCTTCTGGGTGACAGAAAATGGTGGGATGTAGAAATGTTTTCTTTCACTATAGTTAATGGTTATAATAGTAAAAGTAATAGTAACAGCTAACATTCATTGCTTACTGCCAGACACTTAATTCTTGCAGTTATAATTTTAATTTTAAAGATTAAAGAACTGAGGGCACCAGAGAGATCGTTAGTAGCTCAGGAGCACAAGTAGTGGTAGAATTTTGCCCAGTGAGAATTGGTCAGAGAAAATTTGAAGGTTTCCTTTTGTTGCATCTCAAATACTCATTCACTGTTTTAAAATAGAGCACTCAGTTTCAGAGTTCATTTGTTACACATTGCTGGTCTTAGATTTACCAGTTCAGTTAGAACTGGTAAAGTGAAGGTAGTGTTTACTATCTTTGCTTCCTTAAGTATTTCTAAGTGGCCAAGTTTTTCTTTACTTCTTGAGGTCAAGAACTGTTCTGTTCTTCCCCTTTCCCTAAACTAGGACTTTTTCAGTATTTCTTGAAAAAATTTTTAAGGGGAAGTATAATTTTTAAAACGTATTTTTCTTGTCCCCTTTGTGGAGTACAATTTTGGCATATTATGACATTCAGAATATTACAAACTTGGATATAAAATTAATGGAAAGTAAACTTTAGTGGAAGTGAGTGATTTCCTCCTTCCCCCTGTATTCTTCCTAGGTCCTGTTTCTTTCATCACTGATCTTTCTAGACCACAATGATTTAATTTTATATCATTTTTTAGGAATATTACTTTTGAGTGATTTGTAATATATACCCCAAAAGGTTTATCCTGTAGATCTGACAGCAGTGTTGCAAGGGAGTGATCTCCAAATTGGAATTACTTGGAACGTTTAATGAACTTACTTTGTCTTGGGAGAGTGGCATGTATCTTTTAGGAAGTCTTCCAGTCTTCACATCAGCATGGGGAAGGGGGAATTGCTGTTGATAATTAAAATAATAAGACTATCTAGTTTGTCTCTTATTTCTGATTTTGGTACATGCTTCATAGTCCAACCAATAATGTATCCGTTGGCATATGATGTTATATAAGGAACAGCCAGAATCCATAGTATTATAAATTTGTAAAACCTCTTCTAAAAGGACACAGTGTTTCAGGAGTATTTAATAAATGAGGGAGGATCTCATGTATTTTTAGCATGTATTTTCATTGGTATGCGTAGTTTCTAATTGTCATAGTGGATCAGTAACGTAAAACATCAGCTTTTCTGAGATGATGCCATTTGATTTTGTTTACTTTCATTATTTTAGATTTGACAGAATTGAGAGTTCTCATGAACGAGGGTGAGATTAAAGACTTTATTCTCAGGAGGGTATGATGTTAGTTTACATATTTCTCATAGCTTCTGTTTTATGTTTGGACCAGAAATAAAGGTGGAGATTTCAGGGTGGTGATTTACCAAATAAAATTTTTCTAATGAGAATTGATTGAGTCTATTTGTATAGACTGAATCTTTTGGGCTCAAATTGCCAAAATTTTCTGCATTTTCTTTTTTACTGGGAATGATGATCAAATAGACAAGGTTATTCCCAAAACTTTCAGTGTATGGTCTTAGATTACTGAAGAACTTCCGTAAACATTTTGTAGTCACTGGTGCTATTGGGTGGTTCAGTACTCTTAATTATTCTAAGACATTTTATGTTGTCTTCAGGATTTTTTTTTTAATGTGGAAGCATTTTTATTTAGATTTTTTGAGGCATAATTTACAAACCACAAAATTATAGAATTTAAGGGTTCAGTTTGAAAAGTTTTTTAGTTGTATACAGATAGCCATCACCCAAATGCATACAGTCCTCTCACCCCAGCCAGTTCCCTTCCAGTCCTTCCCAGTCTGTTCCCTGTCAGGCAGCTTCTGTTTTTTAAGCATGGTAGCTTAGTTTTCTCTTTGGCCTTTTCTTAATCATTGGGAAAAAAAATGTATTTACGGCCATAATCTGAATTCTGGACAACCTGATAGTTCAGTCTGACAAATGGATGATCAGAAGTCTGTTTTGCTTGTATAAAATTCTAATCTCCACTTGTGTTGAGAATGATGAATGAAAGAAAGCTTTTTATTCCTGAGTGTGTCAGACACTCTTAAGTTTTAGGGCTAGAAAGTTGCATAAGAAATTGTCTCTACTCGTAAGAAACTTTATGACTTCAAAGAAGCTTGTAGCCTTCTTTCAAAATGTTATTTTTATCTGACCATGACTTACGTAGAATTCTTGACGCTTTTGGCTATTTTAAGAATCAGTCCTTTTTTTTTTTAAATATTGAAGCAATATGGTTTCTTTTCACTAAAATGCTATGTGTATTTACACACATGGAATATTATTTTTTTCTTTTTTCTCAATTATTGAGATATAATTGACAGAAAGATTATTTTTAAATACTGCTACCATTTCCCTCGAGCTGATTGGTTGATATTTATTATAGAAGAGCTTAAAGGAGAGACTTGAGCTGGAGTTTCCACCTTAATGGAACCATAGTGTGAATATAAGCCTTGGGAGTGTGCAAGGCTATTTGAGGTAATCCTGGAATAAAGTACCATCTGTTTGGAACATTTTAAAATGCTAATTGAGAACCTAGTTTGCAAAATATTCAGTTATATTAAACTGTTAAACTAATAAAGAAACTCGGTTAATAATACGGATTTCTCTGACAAGCTTCAGAAGTATAACAGTTAAAGAAAAAATTCACAAATGAGGTAAAGATCAATTTACTGTATAAATATGTTAACTTTCTTGGCTTTATGGCAATGACCTGAAGTAAAACACTGATGATAATGGTAATCAAACTAAGTTGTTTTTTTTTTAATTTGAATTATCTAGATAATCTCAAAGGGAAAGGAGAAGTTCCAGATGTGGTCTTAAGTTTTTATTTTTCTTACCTTTGATATATAACCTGGAGGATTTTCATCATTTTTCATGGAAAGATTGGATGTGGGAAGCAATATTTGATAAAATATTATTTAGAAATTTATATTATAATGAGACTACTTGACAGTATCAAAGGATGCAGTTAGGTTGATGTTATTAGTCTAGTTTCTTAGATCCTGGTGAAACAAGTAATAAATAAATGGTCTAGGTATTCAAGAATAATGCAGTCATGCACTAGATGAGGATAATCATCTCTACAGATGGCTTGTACAGGAATTGACCAACCAAACTCGATCCATTTTGCCCATTCTTTAGGAAAACTGAAATACAATTTCTCTCATTTTTCCTTTATACTGTAGTTAATTATACATACCTCTGTTTGCCTTTATGTTTATAAAGTTCGGGATGATTTTATCTCCTCAAATGAAAACTTGGATTATCTCATGCCAAATATTTTTTTGAAAGGGTTTTTAAAAAAATAATAACTGACAGTAATTGAGAACTTACTGTGTGCCAGGTGCCTTAACACTCCAACATACTTTAAGTCATAATTTTGAGGTGGTAGGGATTATTTTGTTGAGTAAAAACATTATTTGTTACTCTTTGCCTATTTTTTTTCATTTTAGAATTTCTTTTCATTTTTAAAGGGAGTAAAAATTTCTCTGATTTAGTTTGACTAAAAATGTGATAGTATGTGTCTATATTGTCAAATATATATTTATCACCCTTGAACCTAATATTGCCATAGTAATATGTTGTAATATTACAAGTGGACCATGCTTAATTGATTTTATTGGCTTGGGAAAGTTATGATAGGATGCATGTTGGCAATATGTACCTTTGAAGTTCTTATATTAAGTTTAAGGAAATTGAATATTGGGAATAATGATGAATTAATTCTTCGTAGTGATTTTTTTCCCCCATAGCATTTATCTGATTACAGTAAATTTGAATATATAAAACCTCACTGGTCTGTGTGGGTTTTGTTTCTTATAGTGTTTATTCCTTTTAAAAACCAAGAATTGCTTTTTTTTTTTTTGGCAGTACGCGGGCCTCTCACTGTTGTGGCCTCTCCCATCGCGGAGCACAGGCTCTGGACGCCCGGGCTCAGTGGCCATGGCTCATGGGCCCAGCCGCTCCGTGGCATGTGGGATCTTTCCAGACCAGGGCACAAACCCGCGTCCTCTGCATCGACAGGTGGACTCTCAACCACTGCGCCACCAGGGAAGCCCCAAGAATTGCTGAAGTGATCTTGTTGGTCAATGAGTCCGTCTCAGCTAAATGATTCAGTCTTCTCCCCTGACCCTTTCTCCCCTTGTACTTGATCTTTCAGGTTGAACATATTTGACTTTTTTTTTCCAGGTTGAATTGACCAAAGCAATGGTTATGGAGAAGCCTAGTCCCCTGCTGGTCGGGCGGGAATTTGTGAGACAGTATTACACACTGTTGAACCAGGCTCCAGACATGCTACACAGGTGAGACCTTTCTTTTCCTGAGCATCATCTAATGCTGCGTTTTAGTGTGTGGGAACTAATCCTTAAGATTCTCTTATTCATCATGCACCTTCTAGGGTTACTGCATAAAAGTGCTTTGTAAGTACCAAAAAGTGATGGTAGTTCAAATTATGTAATAGTAGAATATACAAATATTATTTAAAAATTAGTCTAAGTTACCTATACATTATCAGAAAAGTAATGCTTGATAATGTAAACGTATAATAATTGTGCTCTTGATTTTGTTTGCCGTTTTGCTGTTTTTGGTGAATCACGAATTATTTAGTAAGAATGTATTGAAGAAGATGCAAGAGTGTTCCTGTAATGACATACTTTTGTGTTGATATGCTAACGGTTTTTCTATGTAGGTGCAAATTTTTTTATCAAACTGTGTTTTAGCTTTTTTACTTGATAATCTGTGATCATCTTACAAGGGTAGTACATGTATCACAGTAATTTTGTTACCCATGAGGTTTTATTTTCCAGAGGTGTAATGTATGTTTTAATCCCCTAATGATGAATATGTAAGTTGCTTCCATTATTTCCTCTTACAAATAGTGCTGCATTATACAAAGCTCTTAAGTTTGTTTATGTAGACTTATTAGAATATTTTTTAGAAATTCTAAAATGTGTATTTGTTGGACCAGAACGATTTTTTCTTCTATATCTTGCCAGTTTGCATATTGGATACCACATGATTATTAGGTGAAAGAGAATGTTTTTAAAATTCATTTTGAGTCCTTGTTCTGAAAATGGAAAGAATCACTTGTGTTTTGTTTTTTTTTAAGGCTTTAGAATTTCCAAAACACTTTTACCTTTTTCTTCTTGATCTTTATAAAAACCTCTTAGTAAGGCATTGTAGGATAGTTAACTTCATTTTACAGATAAAGACACTAAGGGGTTAAAAATTTGTTGGTAGTCACACACCTATTAAGTGATAGAACAAGTCCTAAACCTTTCTTTCCCCCTCTTTTGTTGTTCTTTTTGTCAATTGTATTCTGTGCCTTTAGAAGTTACATACATTTGGAATTTAAAGTGGAGCAGCAGTTGAAACAAACTAACCAAATACATTTCTTCTCAATATTGTTATTTACTGGTTCTAACACATCTGTTTTTCACATTTCATCTCTGAGGTACATTTTAGATACAATGAAAAGTGGATTAGCCAGCAGTGAACTGATTCTGGCTGATGTGCAGCCTTTTAATAACTTTGCAAGTTGAAAGGTACTTTTGAGATCCTTAAGGCCCCAGATCTGTCCCTTTTTTGGAGGAAAAAACAATCAGTATGTAGAATGACATGTATGGGCTTATTTGTGAAAAATTGTTAATTTGGAGTACAAGTGTCAAGAAATCCTAAAAGTGATTATCCCCAAGTTAGGGTATTTTCTCTGTGTCTGTGTGTGTGTTGGGGTGGGGTATTGTTGGCGCTTCCCTAATTCAGTATTGTTGTAATGAAAACAAGACAATTTTGAGGATATAGGTGAATTAAAGCTATGAAGATTTAAGTCTGAAGCTCTTAATGCATCAGCAAAAATTGTTAAAACTACTCCTAAGACCTATCTGCCTGAGTTACTGGGTTTTTAATGGGAACTCATCACGTGCATTCTCAGATATAAAAGGACTCTCTAAGTCGGTAGAGAGTATAGATGTCCTCTTGTATATCAGGACTACCTGTGGTCTCCTTGAGTGAAAACAGGAACTTTTATTTTAAGGTGCCTTCCTGACGTGAACTACAAGATCCTTCCCAACATGATCATCCTTTCCTGAGACCTGAAACTTGTGACTCATGAAAATTCCTTGACCATATTCATTCCCATTCAGCAAATGTTGTGACATGTAGGTGATGCATATATTATGATTGCATACAAAGATGAAAAAGAAAATACATTCCTGCCTCCAAGAATGTACTAGTCAGACAGATGGGTTCAAACATGAACAGTAAATACCTGGTCTTAGGATACTTGAAGATGACGAGTATCTTTCTGCTTTACAGATTTTATGGAAAGAACTCTTCTTATGTCCATGGGGGATTGGATTCGAATGGAAAGCCAGCAGATGCAGTCTATGGACAGAAAGTAAGCAAAACAAGCTTCGTGTAGGCTGTTGAGCAGCTAGAAAATAACCCATAGAATTGAGGCGGATACATGCTTGATACGTTTGTTGATATTTAAAGATGAAATTTCTCAACTTCTGTTTAGAAATTTAGGTATTCAGTAACTACTTGGTTTATATGATAATCATTGAAAAGCTTATAGTGTCACTTTGTTCATTTTGTATGATATATTCTGAAGTTCTTTTATGTTGGAAGATGATAGGTTTTAGCATGGGGGTCATCTATTGTAAACATTTTAGTTATGTTAATTAAGGACAATAATTTTAATAATTAAGGTTAAGGTGTCATTGGGAATATACTATATTAAGACAAATTACAGTGGGGTCTGTGTAGTTTGTAATTTAAATGTGCACAGGTAAATGCTCTGTCTTTGTTGTGTTAGAAAGTTTTTTGTTGTTCTTGGAGATTCTGCATTCTCTTTCTTCGATTCCTTAGGAAATCCATAGGAAAGTGATGTCACAAAATTTCACCAATTGCCACACTAAGATCCGTCATGTCGATGCTCATGCCACCCTGAATGATGGTGTGGTGGTCCAGGTGATGGGTTTGCTCTCTAATAACAACCAGGCTTTGAGGAGGTTCATGCAGACCTTTGTCCTTGCTCCTGAGGTATGAAAAAAATAACAATGAAAGGTTGTACATGTTTTTTTAAAAACTGTTCATTTTGAAGTTTTAAATATACAGAAAAGTTGAAATAATAGTGCAGAAGTACTCTTTCATATATCTTACCTAGAGCCACATTTGTCCACACATTTATAATTCTTTTTCTATTTACCTATCATTTTTAATTCTAAACTATTTTAAAAGTAAATTGGAGGACTTCTCTGGTGGCACAGCAGTTAAGAATCCACCTGCCAATGCAGGGGACATGGGTTCGATCCCTGGTCAGGAAGATCCCACGTGCCGCGGAGCAACTAAGCCCGTGCGCCACAACTACTGAGCCTGCACTCTAGAGCCCGCGAGCCACAAGTACTGAGCACATGTGCCACAGCTACTGAAGTCCGCACGCCTAGAGCCCGTGCTCCGCAACAAGAGAAGCCACCTCAGTGAAAAGCCCGCACACCACCACAAAGAGTAGTCCCCACTCACTGCAACTAGAGAAAGCCTGTGTGCAGCAACGAAGACCCAGCGCAGCCAAGATTAGATAAATAAATAAAATTAAAAAAAAAAAAAAGTAAATTGGAGGTATTATGCCCAGTCATCCTCCAGTACTTAAGTGAGCACTTCTTTTTTTTTTTTTTTTTGTGGTACGCGGGCCTCTCACTGTTGTGGCCTCTCCTGTTGCGGGGCACAGGCTCCGGACGCTCAGGCTCAGCGGCCATGGCTCACAGGCCTAGCCGCTCCGCGGCATGTGGGATCTTCCCGGACCGGGGCACGAGCCCATGTCCCCTGCATCAGCAGGCGGACTCTCAACCACTGCGCCACCAGGGAAGCCCGTGAGCACTTATTAAGAATAAGGACTTCTCTTCCATAACCATAGTACAGTTATCAAATTAGAGTATTTGTAATACAATTATCCATCTATAGTCCATATTTAAATTTTGGTTATTGTCCCAGTAATACAAAGAATAGTAATTTTTTTTTCCTTGTCCAAGATTCAGTTCAGGATTACACGTTGCATATAGCTGTCATGTCTCTTTAGACTCCTTTAATCAGCTATAATTCATTAATCTTTTGTTTTTCAAGACGTTGACATTTTTAAAGAGGACAATCAAATTACGTGTAGAATGCATCAGTTTGAATTGTCTGATATTTCCTTATAATTAGTTTTAGGTTATACATGTCTTTCAGTGCCTCACATTAGGTAGCACTTGATGTCATTTAGGCCCCTTATTAGAATTACTTAGTTAAGGTGATGGTCACCAGGTTTTGCCACTGTAAAGTTAGTGCTTTTACTTTTCTCATTAGTAAGTAAATTGTGGGTGCTTCTTTGAGACTGTGCGTATACTTTGTTCTTCATCAAACTTTGAGACGCTAGTTCTAGCGTTCATTGATTCTTGCCAGAATCAGTTGCTACTCTGATGGCTACAAATGGTGATCATCTAATTCTTTATTTATTAGTTGGCATTCTACTGTAAAGAACTTTGCCTTTTCTTCTATCTGTCATGGGGTCTTTATTTAATGGATTTAGTTAATTTTTTATTAATTTCCGAAGTGTCCTAGGACCTGCTAAGTGTGAACCCCTTCAAGCGGGTTTCTGTTTTTTTGTTTGTTTGTTTTGGGGTTTTTTTTGCAGCGGGGGGGCAGTTCGTGGCACAGATGTTTCAGGTTCACCTTGCACTCTCCCTGCTCCAGACACGACCCCAGTTCTGGAGTCAGCTGTTACTTCAAGGAGCCCTGTTTTTTTTTTTAGTTATCATGCTTTTCATGAAAAGACTACAGGCTTATGTTGATTAATTGCATTTGTACTGCCTTCTCGACTGGTCCAGAATGAACAGAGTAAGGAATCCTATCTGTGTGAGCGTGTGGAAGGGGCTCCAAGAGGACCTGCTGACTAAAAGTTTTCTCTAGCATTACTTGTCAGATACTTTTCTGTTGAAGGGTAGTGAATCTAAAATCCCTGTCATTTTACTGTTTGAATATAAAATAACTCAGTTGTCTATTTGAAAAATTACATGAAGTCGTTTTAGTCATGATTTTTAGAGGAAGGCTTAGATTATCTATAGTGTTAAAATTGTTGATGGACTTCTAAATATTCAAGGAATCATGGGATGATTATTAATTATTCTAAATTTAGTTCTTTTTTGCCTTTAAAGAGGAAGATCTTAACATTACCATAGTATAATGGATTGTTACATAAACTGTCTCATTTAATATTCAAAGCTCTAAAGTATAAGTTGGTATCCTTCATTTTGCAGATGAAGAAACAGCCTTAGAAATTGAATGACTAGTAAATGACATAGTTGGATTTCAGTGTAGTTGTGTCCTATACCTAGTGTAGGCAAACCTTTTTAGCTACACGTTTGAGTGCTTGTGTCAATATTCTTGGATAGAGATTTAGCGAATTTTAAAATATCTGTTGCAATTGGTAATATGTATTTATTGTTCAAGAAATGATTTGAAGTCTGGGCTTTGGCATCTTAAATACTTAGAGTTTGTCAGTTTTGGATATTCACCTGGTGGTATTTTAAGCACACAGTATGTAATGTAAAGCAGGGATCCTTTCAGCCTTGACCTTATTGGCATTTGGGGCTGGGTGGCTGCTTGCTGTGGGGATGTCCTGTGCGGCGTAGGGTGTCTGGCAGCGTCCCTGCCATCTCCTCAGTAGTTGTCAGCTCTCCTCCTCACGGGAAACCTGAAATGTCTCCCAAAGTTGCCAAATGTCTCCTGGGGTGGGCAGTATTGCCTTTAGTTGAGAACGATGGTGTAGGGTGATGTGGAATTTTAAAAGTTTCCTGAATAAATGAAAACTTTCTGTTGGCATTGCAGGGCTCTGTTGCAAATAAGTTCTATGTTCATAATGATATCTTCAGATACCAAGATGAGGTCTTTGGTGGCTTTGTCACTGAGCCTCAGGAAGGTAAGTTACTTGTCTAAATTTTTTTGGATGGCATCAGATTGACCTGAAGAGAGTGTAGGTTTCTTGAATGTTTTCATAATTCTCTGTATCTTTCATTAGTAACTTTTGTCAAGGCATAAGAAGGGTTGGAGATTTTAACCTACTTGAGGCTGATAGGTTAGTCTACTTCACTGATATTGGTAGAAGACATCAAACTCCTAAATCAGAAGTAGACAGGTTATTATAGCAACAATAGTAGCATCTTAGCCATAGTTTCCGTGGGACACTGCAGAAGTTTAGATGATACCTGCAGTGCAGTGGGGTGCATTACTAGAGTGGAACCTAAGTTTCAGCAACCAAAACCTTATAATGGGGCAGCAAACATGCCTGCCCGTTGCTCTGGAGAGAGACGCTGTTTTCCGAGAGTGTTGCTGTATAAATATTCTTAAAAGGTAGTCTGGAACAAAGATTAGCCATTGCCTCAGTTGTAAGATATGCAGAAACACAGCTACCCATGGAGAATTGTCTCTAAATGCTAAGAGTAATTAGTATTTTAGTGTTTTCTGTATGACTCAGAATTCTAAGTGCTTTGTATTTATTGTATAATACAACAGCCTTACAGATAAGTATTTTAGGAACTATTGTTTCCTTTTAGTAAATTAGGGCACTGAAATGCACGGAGGTCATTTGCCTGATGTCATATAGCTAGTTAGGTGGTAGAACCTTCGTTGGATTACTGGCAATATGACCTCAGACTCCATGCTTGTAACCCAAACATTACGATGGCCTTAATTCTGTCCTTAAAGCCTACGTCATGATTTTACCCAATTTTCTTTATCTTTTTATGTATCTGTACTGTTCTTATTTCATTGCCTTTTTTATCATGATGAACATTGTGCAAGTGAATATATTTGTGAGTTAAGTGAGCACAAATATGTTAAATTTCTTTTCTCATTTAGAATCTGAAGAAGAAGTAGAGGAACCTGAAGAAAGACAGCAGACACCTGAGGTGGTACCTGATGATTCTGGAACTTTCTATGATCAAACTGTCAGGTAAGGAAAACTTTGTTCATCTGTCCAGAGCTGCATGAGAATTTGAGTTGTTAGTCTTTCTGTTTGTTGGAGGGCAGCCATAATGCTCAGAATTATCTCAGAAAATAGTGATAATTTCCCAGAAGAAAGGTTTTGCTTTTGGTATGTAACATAAATATATAACTTGTTTACTATAGATTGTAGTCTGAGGACTACTTAAATAGTATCCATCAGTTGCTTTTCGGTTATCAAGTATTTAATACATCAAGGCATAGCTTTAAGTGCTTTTTTTGAGATGCAAGGTGTACAAGGACTTAGACATAAATTGACAAAAATTCAGACATGAGTTAAGTAACAATAAAGAACTTCATTTATTAGCTCAGGCAAATGTGTGACTGTGTCTTAGGTTTTTTTTAATCTGCAACTGGAACAGAAATATGTTGGATAGCAATATAAATTAATATTTACTTGTTGCCCTGTGATACCCTTAATGTTAATATTCAGTGCTTAAAGGATACTTTCAAATGTGTCTCAAGGTGTGGTGATGGGACTGACTTTACTCACCTGGGTTGCTGGTTGAAAATGAAGATTTGTTGTCCGACCACAAACTTACCAAATTAGAATTTCCGGTGGGGGGAAGCATCTGCAGATTGTTAAAGTGACTTATGTGGAAGTTTAAGAACTATTCTGAATCACAACTGATGGTTTTTTTTTCCCTCCAAAATTCCTTGTGTGTTTTTGTGAGAAAAAATTTTGATACTAAAAACCACATAACATAAAATTTACCTTAACCATTTTTAAGTGTACTTTATAGTAGTGTTAAGTATATGCACGATTATGCAGCAGAATCTCTAGAAATTTTTATCTTGAAAAAACTGAAACTGTACCTTTCCACCTCCCCATAGCCTATTAGAGTTTTGTGATATGTGATAGGTAAATTGTAATAATTTTGGGATTCTGAGAAACACTGCTCTGGTTCATTTTGATCTGTTTGATGCATTTGCTTAATCAGAATTTAGCAAATCTGACTGCAGTTAAGATTTGCTCACTGAGGGCTTTTCTAAAAAGTTGTCTTGTTTTAATACACAAATACATAATTCTTAGATCTTATTGGGGAGGAGAGAGCTATGTTTTTTAGGTTCAGGTCTCTAGGAATTTCTTGCTAAATCAACGGAAGCAGAATGATATTTCTCAAATTTTACCATGAAAGCAATGACTTAGAAGAACATTTAGAAGAACCTGTTGCTGAACCAGAGCCTGATCCTGAACCAGAGCCAGAGCAAGAACCTGTGTCTGAAGTCCAAGAGGAAAAGTCTGAGCCAGTATTGGAAGAAACTGCTCCTGAGGATGCTCAGAAGAGTTCTTCTCCAGCGCCTGCAGACATAGCCCAGACAGTGCAGGAGGACTTGAGAGTATGCAATGTGTCTTCATTTTTATTCCACTTCTATTTTTAAAAATCTCTCTTCTTCTTTATTGTTGCTTGGTTGCCTTTTGTAGGTACATTTTCATATTGGTTGTTTAGGGAAATTTCTTCCATATTGAGCCATACCTCAGATAAGAAGTAAGATGCATATTGCTTTCTAAAATCAAAAGTAGTTTTTTCCCTCCTCTAAGGAAACTTGAATACTTTTTAGGCCAGAAATTTCAGGTGCTATTTTATCACTGCATCAACAAACCTTCTTTTTAATATTACATCTTTCAAATTGCAGATTATTGTGTGCTTGTTAAACAAGTGATAGTCTATCTTTGAAAAATAACATGGCACAACAGACTTTTCCTGCCCTTTTCTATGAAATCTAATTGAGGACAACTTTACAGTACAAGTAGAAACAAATTGCTCAAGTATAACTACTTTTCTAATCAGAATACCTGATTTGAAAAGTTTGAAGATTTTCAGTTACTGTCCCTGAGTCACATCAAGATGATAACTGAACTAACAGAACCTTTACAGTTGATGCTCCTTGAAGGAATATGTTTTAGTGCTGTATTTATGGGGCCAGGGTTCTTGTGATGCCGTTTCTCTAACAGTTATTTCAAGTGTCTTTGCGTTAGGCATTGTTCTAGGTATGGGAATTGTCAGTAAAGTAGATAGAGCTCTTGGTCTCTGGAAGCTTCTGGGTGAGTAGGAAAGAGAAATGGTGAAATCACTTTAGCTTGCAGGTGGAAAAGTAGGTTGGCTGGATTGAGAATGGATGACAACTTAGGTGGCTTAATTATAGTAGTTCTGGAGAGAGGTAATGACATCTTGGATTAGGGTCATGGCAGTGGAGATGGAGAAGAGATTTAAGATGTAAATAATAGGATTTGGTGATTTTGGTATTGATTGATATAACGCAAGAAGATTCTAAAGTTGGTGTAGTTGGGTTATAGATTGAGAGAATCATAGGAGGAAGAGCTGGTTTTGGAAGGAGAATTTTCTTTGATTCACAAACTTGAAATTATGTGGAAGTAGCCTCTCATACTTTGCTGATACTTGATTAGTCCTAAGGAATTTTAGTACTAAATTTTAAGTAGAGGGGAAACGGAATCTCAAGTTACTTATAAATTCCATCTTGCCTCTGAAAATGAGATGCGCGTGTAATAATACAAGAATTCAAAAGCTAATACCTTTTTTTAAAATAAAATTTATTTATTTATTTATTTTTTGCTGTGTTGAGTCTTCGTTGTGTGTCGTCTTTCTCTAGTCGCGGCAAGCGGGAGCTACTCTCGGTTGTGGTGCGTGGGCTTCTCATTGCGGTGGCTTCTCTTATTGCGGAGCACGGGCTCTGCATGCCCAGGCTTCAGTAGGTGTGGCTCGCAGGCTCTAGAGTGCAGGCTCAGTAGTTGTGGCACATGGGCTTAGTTGCTCCGAGGCATGTGGGATCTTCCTGGACCAGGGATCGAACCCATGTCCCCTGCATTGGTAGGTGGATTCTTAACCACTGCACCACCAGGGAAGCCCAAAAGCTAATACCTTTTATATTGTTGTGATAAGTAGTGTAATCAACTGATGTTGGTGTGTTCCCTTAGACCTTTTCTTGGGCATCTGTGACCAGTAAGAACCTTCCACCCAGTGGAGCTGTTCCAGTTACTGGGATACCACCTCATGTTGTTAAAGTACCAGCTTCACAGGTGAGTTTCTAATTAAGCTTGCATATTAGGCAAATTTACTTGTATTTTTGTGTAATGTGATTTCACAGAGGTTTAATGAATAAGGCAGAGGAGAAGGGTACAAGGTGATTTTTAAAAAAATTTTTTAATTTAATTTTATTTTTTTATACAGCAGGTTCTTATTAGTCATCAGTTTTATACACATCAATGTATACATGTCAATCCCAATCACCCAATTCATCACACCACCAGCCCCCGCCCCTGCTGCTTTTTCCCCTTGGTGTCCATACGTTTGTTCTCTACATCTGTGTTACAAGGTGATTTTTAATGTGGTTTTTTTTTTTTTTTTTTGTGAGAGAATGAGGGAATTGTCATTTTCTAGTTTAAACCTTATTGTTAGCTAGGATACTTCACAAGAATAAAAGGTAAGCTTGCTTTGTTCTTACACAAAAGTTAACGTTACACATTTTTTAGCCTCGTCCGGAGTCTAAGCCTGAATCTCAGATTCCACCGCAGAGGCCTCAGAGGGATCAAAGGGTGCGAGAACAGCGAATAAATGTTCCTCCCCAGAGGGGACCTAGACCAGGTGAGAGCTCAGAAGGGTGGCTTCTTTAGTCTGAGCCTGTTGAGGGTGAGAGCTTGTTTTGGGAGGGTAGTTGATGTTTGTGTGTACTTAGATTTTAAAAAATATGTTGTGGAGTTAATGGAATTGCCTGTATTTAGGGGTAGAGAGAACTGTTGAATGGAACAGTCATGTAAAGGTGTCCTCTTTCTCATTCCTTCCTGCTTTCGTTTCCTCTTCAGTCCGTGAGGCTGGTGAGCAAGGTGACGTTGAACCCCGAAGAATCGTGAGACACCCTGACAGTCACCAACTCTTTATTGGCAACCTGCCTCATGAGGTGGACAAATCAGAGCTTAAAGATTTTTTTCAAAGTAGGTTATTGAGTTTTAAATACTAGATTCATTTAATACAGTGCTATCCAATAGAAACAGATGACCCACATTTATAATTTTAAGTTTTGTAGTAACATTTTAAAAGGCAAAAAGAAACTGGATAATTTAATTTTAATATTTTATTTAACCCAGTGTATCTAAGACATCATCTTAATATGTACAAACATGAGATACTTTCCATCAGCCTATCCTAAGTCTTTGAAATCTGGTGTGTATGTTGCACGTAGGGCACATCTTATTTTGGAGTAGCCACAATTCACATGCTTTGTAACCATGTGTTACTAGTGGCTTTCATTGGACAGTGCGCGTGTAATACTTAAAGGAAATGTTCTAAGTTATTTGAGAATCTGTGTTCCACTTGCAGATTATGGGAATGTGGTAGAGCTGCGTATTAACAGCGGTGGGAAATTACCCAATTTTGGGTTCGTTGTGTTTGATGATTCTGAGCCTGTTCAGAAGGTGCTTAGCAACAGGGTAAGCAGTTTTTCATCTTGATTTTCTGTATCTTTGGTCTTTTAATGTATTCATCCTTAAAACTATGTCTTATATGTAAAGCGCAGTTTATTCCAACATGTCTGGGTAATATTTTCCATCATGTTTAACCATTATTAAAAGAACTGCCTGGGAGTTAGAAAAACAAAACTGCCATCTGAATAATGTACTTTTTGAATATGCGCATGATGGAGAATGAAATAACTATGGTAACCAATGCGCTGAGATTTATGCAGTTCCTTTCTTTGGTAGTGGCTCCTGGTGTAAGTGATGAATTAAATATTATGTTACTTTTAGCTAAGATATCTTAGAATCAGTTTGTTTAGCAGGTATATTTGTAGTCTTCATATATAACTGTTTCATATATAACTATGAGGAACTTCTTTTGTTCTATAAGTTGTCTGGGTTTGGAGTCACCCTACCTTAAGGCACTTTTATTAACAGTACTTTCTCTAATAATAGAGGGATTTGTAGAGTCAGAATCTTATTTCTGTGTTCTTAAAGAGACCTTTCCTGGGCTTCCCTGGTGGCACAGTGGTTGAGAGTCTGCCTGCCGATGCAGGGGACACGGGTTTGCGCCCCGGTCTGGGAAGATCCCACACGCCGTGGAGTAACTAAGCCCGTGTGCCACAACTACTGAGTCTGCGCTCTAGGGCCCGTGAGCCACAGCCACTGAGCCTGTGCACCACAACTACTGAGGCCTGTGCACCCTAGAGCCTGCGCGCTGCAGCAACTGAGCCCATGCGCCACAACTACTGAAGCCCGTTTGCTCTAGGGCCCATGTGCCACAACTACTGAGCCCGCGTGCTGCAACTACTGAAGCCCATGTGCCTAGAGCCTGTGCTCCACAGCAAGAGAACCCACTGGAATGAGAAGCCCGCACACTACAACGAAGAGTAGCCCCTGCTCTGTGCAACTAGCAAAAGCCTGCACACAGCCATGAAGATCCAGCGTGGCCAAAGACAGATTAACAAAACAAAACAAAAAATTTCATTAAAAAATAATACAGGGCTTCCCTGGTGGTGCAGTGGTTGAGAGTCCGCCTGCCGATGCAGGGGACATGGGTTCGTGCCCCGGTCCGGGAGGATCCCACGTGCCGCAGAGCGGCTGGGCCTGTGAGCCATGGCTGCTGAGCCTGCGCGTCTGGAGCCTGTGCTCCGCAGCGGGAGAGGCCACAACAGTGAGAGGCCTGCTACAGCAAAAAAAAAAAAAAAAAAAATACAGTGTGCAACTCATTGGCATTTAATACACATTGTTGTGCAACCATCACCTATCTAGTTGCAAAACATTTTCATCAAAAGTAAGTCCCTTACTCATTGAGCAGTTTTTCCCCATATCCTCTCTCCCCAGCCCCTGGCAACCACTAATCTGCTTTCAGTCTCTGCCATTTAAAACTTACACATTTTATTTACCATGTTAGTTAGAAATGTTGTAGATCATTATTTCCCAGAGGTTCTCCAGAACCTCTGATGTTCTCCAGAATGTTAATGGGTATATTACAAAGTTTAATGTTGTGGTCATAACATTAAGTTAGCCTTAATCTGAAATGTGCATTGTCTGTCAAACTGTTGGACCACTACTTTTGTGAAGCATCTCCTGCAAAACCCTGAGAAGTGTGGAGAGAATATGGCTTATGTCACCCAGGACACAGAATACTGAACACAGAGATGTCCAGTAGGCTTTGTTGGTAAATCCACCATTGAGCATACAATAGACCCAGGGGCCACACTTTTTGGTGCAGCCTTGACTTTGTATTTTCTTAGATGGTATGATACTCCTGTGGGGCCAAACAAGGTCAGGCCCGATAGCTTGCTTCCAGTTAATTATCCAAGATGAGGGCTTTGGTGTTTCATTTAACCCCTGTGGGTAAGGCATGGCATCATTATGCATAGAAATTTTTGAGGTAAATTTCCTCAAAGTGGGCTGTATGTCTGCTACCTTTTTTCATTCAGATTGCTTCTATCCTTGTGATACCTCCATAGAGGTATCTTCCATAACTACCTTTTAAAATATCCGCAGTCCTAACCTCTCCTTATCTTTCAGACTTTAAATGATTTTATTTTTCCCATTGTATCTAGAACATTACCAGGAACAGCACTTCACATTAATGTGTGTGATTTATATGCTGTGTATATAAAAAAAATATATATATATAAATATTTGTAAATCTGTGTTAAAATACTTATAAATGTACAAATATAAGTATATATTTAATCAGAATTTAAAATTCACTTTAGAGTCAGAGCTCAAAAGAGGCTCCGCCGCCCCACCCCCATGCAGGTTTCCTTACATGCACTTTCAGATCATTCCTGTGAACTCTGGTGACTTCAGATGTAGCTTGCCTTTCCCTCACCTCACTGTATTGGTAGAAGTCTACCGTACTCCCTTCAGAATTTTTTTTAGACTTCTTTTTTTTTGTTTTGGTTTGTTCTTAATTTTTTAATATTTATTTATTTGGTTGCATCGGGTCTTAGTTGCGGCAGGCGGCCTCCTTAGTTGTGGCTTGCTGGCTCCTTAGTTGCAGCAGGCGGGCTCCTTAGTTGTGGCTGTCTGACTCCTTAGCTGTAGCATGCAAACTCTTGGTTGCGGCATGCATGTGGGATCTAGTTCCCTGACCAGGGATCGAACCCGGGCCCCCTGCATTGGGAGCGCAGAGTCTTAACCACTGCGCTACCAGGGAAACCCCCTTCAGTAATTTTTTATGAGTACAGAAATAGCTCGTAGAATATGACCGTGGTGTCTGACCATGCTGTGTTGGTTCAGAGCTCATGCTTTCCTGTCACAATGCCTTGGTTTACATTGCTCTTCTGTCTCTCACTAGCCTTGTGACCCGTGCAGTCTTGTTCCTTAACCTCCCTGGCGCATAGTTTGCTGGTCTCTATAAAATAGGTGTGCTAACAACCTTGAAAGGGTTGTTGTGAAGATTAAATGAGATAATAAAAGTGAAGTATATAGAATACTTCTCTGCATAGTAAGTACTGTTAGATATTTATTTTAAAAAATATTACAGTAGAAAACCACTGAGTACCAGCAAGGAGCGTAAATTGAGTTCATTGGAATCTTGAGTAACCCTTTGTTTGCTGTACTTCTCTTGGCAAAAAAGAAAGCCCAAGACATAGTGGGAAGTATCTTTTTTTTCCTGCACTAAGATCTGGTATCTTTATTATCTTCAGTATTTTCCCAAATTCTGTTCAGGCAAATAGCATTTTAAGATTATATTTAGGTGAAATTCATGATGTTTTTGAGACGTATATGTACTTTGCATAAACATGTGCAGCAAAGTCTTTCCACATTAGGTGATGATGGGATTTTATTCTAAGCCTCCCAATCCATGGAGAAGGTGGCAAGTTTTATTTATATTCTATTTATATAATTCTGTGGGAATATAAGATGTGCTTTAATAAGTACAAAGAGAGTTACTCTGCTGCACTCTTTAAATTGACTTTTTGACTTTTGAGCTAGCTTGCATACCTGCTTTTCCATGTATCTGTTAGTGGGAAAATTATGTGTTCTGAGTTTGAGACAAAAAACTGCACTGTGAGAACGTAGGTGATTTGTAAGCTGCTGGTTCCTTGTTTTGTCTTGGTTTTATAGCTTTGTTTTGTCTTTGGTAGTCAGTAGCCCATAAGCACTCTGTGTAAGTCTGTTCACCTTGGTTCTTACAGCCCATCATGTTCAGAGGTGAGGTCCGTCTGAATGTGGAAGAAAAGAAGACTCGAGCCGCCCGGGAAGGAGACCGCCGAGATAACCGCCTTCGGGGACCTGGAGGCCCTCGAGGTGGGCTGGGTGGTGGGATGAGAGGCCCACCCCGTGGAGGCATGGTGCAGAAACCAGGATTTGGAGTGGGAAGGGGCATTGCTCCAAGGCAGTGAATTGCTCTTCACCGATCTTCAGGCAGCAGTACAAACCCTAGCTCCCACAGAATGGTGATTTCTTCAGCCAACCTTTTGGTATCTTGGAATCTGATCCTAGTCTATGATAAACTGCTTAAGTTTGTACAATTCTACTTTTTGTGTTACTGGTGTGTGCTCCTTCCCCTCTCACCCCCACCCCTCCACCTTTTAGTCCTTCACTTCCAGTTTTGTGGAATGATATTTTAGGAAAAGTGGATTTTTAAAGAAGAAAAAAAAAAGACTGCGTTTCCTTGCTTTATTTGCATATAGACTGGATTTTTTTTTAACAGTTTCCCCAAAGGAATGTGTCTTGCTTATTACTGACATTTGGTATGTTTCATTCATTGGAATATTTCTTACTTATTTTCTACATGTTTCAAAAGCCTGTGAGAATTACAGGATTTGATAAACATTTTGAAGGCAGGAAGAACCCAAATTGTCTCTTCTTTGAGAGTCATAACTACCTTCTGGTGTGGAAAAATTGCCGTTGGAAAAATTGACAATTTAGATTCTCTCTGGTATGGTTAAAAACTGAATAAAAGGTGTTAGTAGAGTTTTTCTTTGGATACGTGATTGCAGAACAGTTCCAAAACCTGTTTTTACCATTGAAATTTAAACTGTGAGATAGGTTTTAAATGTCTAGAATGCAACTGATAAGCTTTTCTTGAACTGTTAGATTTTTTTTTTTGAAGTAGAGTTTTTTCATGTTTAATTTGTATTTGTTAAAAAAAAACCAAAAAGACCCAAAAAAAATTCAAAAATCTGAGTAACACAAAACCAGAGCAAAACTGTTGTGCCTTCTATTTATCTTTGATTCCAGTCTTGGCAATTGTTTAAAAGAAAAATAATAATAAAAAAAAATAAACTTAGATTTGTTCTATTAGGTTCAGAGTATGTTGGGAATTACAGAATCCCTCTTTCACCCTGTATGTCTTGTGTTCATTTGTTATGCCTTATTCTGAAATTGAGTCTCAAACTGGAATGCTTTTGAGGTCAGATGCCTCTGTAGAGGTCCTTTGACCTGAGTAGTTCAGCATTTATATTAAGTTTTATTTCAGTGTCTCTTCAGAATCCTAATCGTGGCCCGTAAGAAAGAATGTGACTTTAATATTGGACTTTGCTGGTGTGCTTGAGTGTGCACTAGTTTTTTTTCTTAAATCATAGCCTTATGGTAAATTTTCTATTTTGTTATGCTTCCCTTTTATTGGTGGGCATGCAGTGGGTGTTTCTTGGAAATGGCCAATTATTTTTTCTTTGTGGTACGTGGGCCTCTCACTGTTGTGGCCTCTCCCGTTGCGGAGCACAGGCTCCGGACGCGCAGGCTCAGCAGCCATGGCTCACGGGCCCAGCCGCTCCGTG